AAGAGAGAAGCAATAGACATTGGACAGATTCACAAATGGAAAAAACATGATTAATACATATATATGCAGTCTTGCATTTTTATTTTTACTATTACATATAAATAAACGTAGTAAAAAAGTATATATATTTTATTTTTTGGAGTCTCCAGAACAAATTAATCAAATTCCCATAAAAACCTATGGTAAATCGATAATCTGTTAATGAAGAATTCGGATAACGAACAAAGTCTTGGAACAGATTATGTTCATTAACCGATCACCCAATACTATGTTAATTTTTGTTATGAATTGTGTGTGTGTGTGTTTATATATTTGTGTGTAAACAAAAGTGTGCAGTATTTTTTAGAATGTATACATTTGGGAATATCATTTGTTATGTAATTTTGCTATTAATTTCTTTTATAGCATGGTGATATGGATCAGAAAGAAAGAGATGTCATCATGAGAGAGTTTCGTTCTGGTTCAAGTCGAGTATTAATTACTACCGATTTACTTGCAAGAGGAATAGATGTTCAACAAGTTTCTTTAGTTATTAATTATGATTTGCCTACAAATAGAGAAAATTATATTCATAGGTAAAATTTTGGTTATTGTATTTGAAAATTTTGTAAATGTTCTATTGGAAAGCAAGTACAGTGGAACCTCGGTATACGACCTAAATCCGTTCCTGGTGTTTTGACTTATACCGAATAGGGCGTATACCAAACCAACCTTTTCCATAAGCAGTAATGTAAAAATGATTAATCCGTTTTCATGTAAAAAAAATGGCTGGCTTTAAACACTTTGCTTTCCTCGCTAGTTTCTGCTTGATTTTTCATGAGATCAGCATGTATCCTTTTAACTTTCTTGCAAATAATGTCTTCCGATACGCTGTCGCCGACAAACTGTTTTTCAGGTATCCAAAGCAAAAGCAATTTCTCGATATGATCTAATGTCTTCGATCTCTGTTTAGAAATTGATTTAACCCCTTTCGCAACATTAGCAAATTTAATAATGTCTTTATTTTTCACGATTGTCGATATCATTGTTCTTGGAATACGGAATGCAACAGTTAAATCTCGTTAAATCTCGAACACGCGTGCCACCTTCATATTTCTCAACAATCTCTTTTTTCAGTTCCGTTGTGATTCTAGTCATTTTTTTTATTTTTCTGTTGCCCTTTTGCAATTCATGATTAATAAAAATAATAAAATGTTGCTTACAAATTAAAATCAGAAGAAATTTAACAAAGTTATAAACCGTAGCAC